CATTTCTATTTATGATGTTAAGTCATATGTCTTTACTTTAAAACACTGCCCAGTCCTGCGCCATCCTTTGCTATGCAATCAATTATTGCTATGTTTGAGCCCATCATTGCAGCCACTGCATCAATCCATCTCATTGAGTGTCTTCCAGCCTAGAAAACACCATGGGGCAGTTCTACTCTGTCACATGGAGTCGTTGAGTTGAAAATTGACTTGACAGCACCCAACAACCGTACTAAGGAGAAAACAAATTTCCACAACTCTTTGATGAATAAGAAATATAACAATAATAAAGTACTTTTTTTTTGGCGGGGGGGGGGTAATTCAGGTCTACTATTAAGAAGCATGGAATTGTTTTTTTTTTTGATAACATTTCACTTAATTGGGGTTCAGAATTAGTGTTCCCTATCATCAAATCCAGAGTTTCCTTATGCCACCGAGGTCACTGAGACGGAACTGACTTGACAGCAATGGGTTTTTTTTGGTTTTATCATCAAACCGACTGCAAATGTTCATTTGTAATGCTGATGTGTTGTAAGATATTATGTATTTCATCTTTGAAAATGTCTTTTCAGAGAGGTAATATGAGTAGTACTTGAAATGCTGTCAAATTATAACTGCATCACTGCTATTTGTAATGCATTTAGAAGCAGTGTGAAGTGATGAGTGTTGCTCACATATGGTCTCTGTGGCAACATCTCAATTTTGCTGCTGCAGCATGAAAGCAGCCACAGACAATATGTAAATGAATGGCCTAGCTGTCTTCCAGTGTTCATTTAGGAACACTGAAATTTAAATTTCATATAATTATCACATGTCATGAAACCTTTTGATTTTTTTTCAACTGTTTAAAAATGAAAAAACTATTGGCTCATGGCTATACAAAAACAAGCCGTGGGATGGATTTGGTCCATGAGCCACAGTTTACAGACTTCTAACCCTTTTCATTCTCAGTGTCATATACTTGGCACCTGTCATGGATTGAATTGTGTCCCCCCAAAATATGTGTCAACTTGGCTAGGCCATGATTCCCAGAATTGTGTGGTTGTCTTCCATTTTGTGATTTGATGTAATTTTCTTATGTGTTGTAAATCCTAATGTCTATGATGTTAATGAGGCAGGATCAGAGGCAGTTATGTTAATGAGGTAGGACTCAACCTATAGGATTAGGTTGTATCTTGAGTCAATCTCTTTTGAGATATAAAAGAAGAGAAGCAAGCAGAGAGATTGGGGACCTCATGCCACCAAGAAAGAAGTGCCTGGAGCAGTGAAAAGCTTCTAGACCAGGGGAAGATTGATGTCAAGGACCTTCCCCTGGAACCGACAGAGAGAGAAAGCCTTCCCCTGGAGCTGGCATCCTGAATTTGGACTTCTAGCCTCCTAGACTGTGAGAGAATAAATTTCTGTTTGTTAAACCCATCCACTTGTGGTATTTCTGTTATAGCAGCACTAGATAGCTAAGACAGCACTTAATACTTCATTCTTAGTTGGTAAAAGTCTAGTGAGGGGGAAAAAAGTCTATTGAGATGACAGAGGTATGTCACAGGAACCTAGACATCAACTGAAAGAGCACACAGTGGCCACAACCGAACAATTTCAGGAACAAATAAAGTACCACTGGATTATAACCCAAAGTATAAAATAAGTATCCATGAGTCCATAGTGATATAAATAAATGATTGAAAAAGTAAATAAATGGACATAATAGACCAGTTTCCCATGCAGATGAATTCCAAATAATTTATGTAGATCCTTCACTCTCAAGGATATGGAGGATAACTCCCCACTCCTTAAGTGTGGTCTACATATAATAACTTCCTTCTGAAGAGTACAGTAGGGGAACAGTGGAGAAACCTGATAAACACCACCTCAGCCAAGTGATAAAGGCCAATGCAGCAGTCATAAATCAAGTTGATAGTATATAATCTTTGTGATGTGATAAGAGTGACACTTTACCTCTGTGGTCTTCTTCCCCAGAAATCCATAACCCATTAATCATGAGAAAAATATCAGACAAATTCCAATTGTGGGACATTCTACAAAATATCTGACCAGTACTCCTCAAAACATCCAAGCTCATCAAAAACAAATTCTGAAAACTGTCACTCCTTAGCCAAGAGGAGCTAAGGACACATGACAGATAAATGTAATGTGCTATCCTGGATGGGATCCTGGGACACAGAAGAACATTCGGTAAAAACTAAAGAAATCTGAATAAAGTATAAACTTACTTAATAATCACATATTGACACTGGTTGATTAATTATAACAAATGTACCATACTAATATAAAACATTAGTAAAAGGGGAAGGTGGGTCTGGTGTATATGGGAACTCTCTTTACTATCTTTGCAACTTTTCTGTATATCTAAAACTGTTCTAAAATAAAAAGTTTATTTAAAAATAAAATCTACTATGAAAATTTTATTAGTAATCTTAAAGAGACTGTAGTTGCAAGAAGAGAAATCTACCCAACTAGTTCCCTTCATTAAGAGGTGAGGGTGGTTGTTACATCTCAGGGAACACACAAAAGCATGAATAATTAGGCTTGGAAAAATACAAACAGCAACTCTGAAATAGCTCCTCTTCTCTCTGCTGCTTTGAACCTCTCTAGTCTGTTTTCTCTGTATATTTATCTTGCTGCTCTACATGACATTTCAGCTGCAGATCCACAACCCACTAGCAACACCATCTCCACTTCTGTGTCTCTTAATTAAAAACTCTTGAAAGACAGTATATCACTTTGAGCCAAGTCCTAGAAGTCATTTGTGTTCTTGGCCTGTTATGAATAGGCCCACGGAGGTGAGGTAGTTACCTCTAATTCCATTAGCTGTGACCAGTGTGTGCTATGCCCACTGGACATCAATGGACTAGTACAAATTCTCTAAGGTAGGGTGGGGATGGAGGTATGGGGTAGAGCAGGGTCCCTCAAACAGGCTATTATAAAGAGACAGAAGCAGGATTTGAACGCAGGTTTTGGTTTTCTGATTCTCGAATAAATGCTTCTTTCATCTGAGGAAGCAATGTATTAAAATTAAAAAAGGAAAAAGCATAAAGCTCTTCTCACTTTTTCATTTAAAAGCCACTAGCAGACTGCATGTATATTACAATCTGAATTAAAGTATGTATAGAAATGAGGAAAGTTGGTCTTCCTGATGGGCATTCGTTATTTTTCACAACAATGACCAAAATGTTCCTATGACAGTAGCATTGTGGGAATCTGTGAAAGCATTAATTTTTAGTCCTACCTGGTTTAAAGCAAAAGTGATATAACAGACAATTCCTCAGTTTAAGTACATGTAAGGGAGTATGGCCACTGGTTTCCTTTCACATACGTATTATAACCTCATGGAGTTCTTGAAGCAAGGAAGCAATATAAACAAAATTAAATTTCTGAGACAAAAATATTTGCTGCTGTGGGTATACAAGTGGAGAAAAGAGCTTATAATAAGGCAAGAATAATTTAATTCTAACAATAATTAATTCAAAACCTAGGAATATTTTTGGAATATGAGACATGTGGGAGTTAATTTTGTTTTTCCTTTAGTTATGCAAATACTTCTGTAGTCAACCTGTAGCCAGCAGCAACCAAAAGGGCAGTTTCTTTGATTAGTTTCAACACATGACTGTGACTGAAGTAGTCTAAGTACGATAACCTAAAATTTTATTATTTAGTATAGTGGCAGATTCTCAATTTATTTCTATCTTAAGTATTTGACCCCAGATGTCCATATATGTAGCACAATATCCGGAGTATACCCAGGGTTATGCATGCCAGTAAATACACTAGAATGCAAGTCAGTGAGTGACTTGTCTTACTGAGTCTGCTCTAATTAAAAAACAAAAGTAAACAAAACATCCCCAAACTCTGGAACAACAAATTACTTATAATGTATCTCAAATACAATTTTTGAAGTTCACTTGTTCAATATAACAAAAATAAACGTCTTCTAAAATAAGGTGATGCAAGAGCTTTGGAAGAAAATGAACATAAGGAAACTTCTTGGCAGTTTGAGACAAGAAGGTAGTAACACTGAAATACACGATAAACTATTTTGCACTCCCACTGGGCTGAATGGCTGGCATTCTTTTAAAGCACTGAAGAAACTGCATCTTCTAATGATTTACCTCATCTCTGCCGCTCTGTCAAAAAGCAAAACAAAACATACAAACTGTGTGGGAATTAGATTAGTTGCAACAGTTTGACACGGGATGCGGAGTGGGGGGAGCCACCTGCCCACGACCTGCAGTTAATCACTTGAGAAAAGAGTTTTGCAGCGCAAGGTAGTTTCCGAATCATCTATTTTGTTGCCTGGCTGCTTCAAATGGAGACCTAACAAAGGCGACTGGAACCCGAGTGCCCGTCGGGTATCCAGACCTGATCGCGGATTCCGCAAGGTCGCCGCACGCGGGCCAGCCGGATCCCCAAACCATGCGCCCCTCGCCCACCGGACCCCACCCAACAGGCGACGCCATCTACTCTTTCTTGTGTCCAAACAGCCGCCCAACGCGGGAGGGCGAGGCCGGATGGGCGGTCCCCAGACCCGCAGCCCGCTCGCCCCCGCCGGCCCCTCGCGCTCCCCAGGCAGGCCGAGCCTCCGCACTCACCATCTCGATGATCTTAGTTTTCCGCCCTGTCTTCCTCTTGGAGGTGAATATGTATTGGGCCAGCACCACCGCCGCCACCAGGGCGCACACACTAGCACTCGCTACCGCTCCAACCCTCGCCACGGCCGCCCGATCCATGGACAGGGCCTTCATTCGCCCCCTTGCCACCAAAGTAAGAGGCCACTCACGGCAATGCGAGCCTGGGAAGCGCGGGACCCGAGCGCGCGCCGCGGTAAAGCCGCGAACGCCCGCTCTGCAGCCTCTTTGCGCGAGCCCCGCCCCCGAGGAATGCCCAGCCTGTGAGTGCCGGGGGGCGGTGCCGGGAGAGCGGAGGGGCGGTGCCTACGTTGGGGCTGGCGCGAGAGGTGGGTCTTCCCCAGAACTTGCGTCTGAAAAACTGGTCCAAGGGTGGGAAAGAGAAGTATAGTACTCTCTGCTAAAGAACACTAGGAGTGGTTCATTCCAGCCCTGTCCCAGAAGAAATCTGATTCCAACCACTGCCCAAATCCCAACTCAGAAATTGTTCTCTGCGTCTCATTCTCCCGCGCCACTCCGGCCTACCACCCCCAGAAGGCGTCGCGGCGCAGCCATGTGACCTGCGCAGTAACGTTCGTTGGAAAGTGCCATGACAACGAGGCGAAGGTGGCACGGAGTTATGCTGGAATGGGGAGTGTCGCTTCAGAGCCCGTGCTGTTCGTTTTCAACGACATCTCAGTCACCGCCTCCAGTATCATTTCCTCTTTTTGAGCAGCGGGGCTTGCCTTCGCTCCCGCCTGCCTGGTCTCTTTCAAGGATGAATGCCGTTTCCCTGCTTTTTCTCGAGGGTAACAGAAAGGCGGCGCAGGGGAGCTTCTTGGGAGGGTCACCCCAGCTCTGTGGAGCTGGTGGTGCTCTCTTTGCCCTTGACCTGGAGTAAATGCGAGTAGGACAAGAGGGATTAGTGAAGCTATGGGTTGCTTTTCTCTGCACTCTCATTCTTACTCCTGCTCCAGCCCTGGGACCCTCGGCAAGCCTTCTTAAAGAGGAATCTGCGGAAAGAGGGTATGCAGAAAGATGAGCAGGTCCCATGTGACCCACCATCAAGTAAGAAAGAATGTCTGGAATTGAACTTCGGAAGCATGTATCCCCTTTTCATGTTTTGTGGGTAAGACTGATTCTCTGATATCATGTAATTAATGGTTTTGTAGATGTAGGGTCATCACTTTCTTAGGAAAGATGTTTGCATTAAAAAAAAACAAAAAAACCCGAACACAGTGTATATGAGTCTTGCTGTGACATACCCTTCAGCAGGCCCGGAGCAAATGGTAAACCAAATTGCAGCCTATGATTGAAGCAGGGTGCGTATACTAAAAAAAAAAACAAACCTCGTAGTAACTCTATAGGACAGAGTAGAACTGTCCCATAGGGTTTCCAAAGCTGTAACTCTTTGGAAAGAGTCTGCCCCCCGCGGAGTGGCTGTTGGGTTTGAACTGGTGACCTTTCCGTTAGCAGCCCAGCGGTTAACCACTGCGCCACAGGGACTCCATTGTGTATGTACTTAACCCACTGCCATCCCAGCCAGTTCCAACTTGTAGCGATCCTATAGGACAGAGTAGAACTACCTCTTAGGGTTTCCAAAGCTGCACCTCTTTAGCGAGGCAGTCTTCCCTACTCCCGGCGCGGCGGCTGGTGGGTTTGACTTTTCGGTTAGCGGCCGCTAACCCCTGCGCAACCAGGGCTCCTGGGAATTCCTCCTTGGGGTAGGATTATTGCTTCTCCTTCTTATTTAATTTGCAGACCACGGCAGTTTAATTTAACTAATTTTAAGACTAGAGTTAAGTAAAAACAAACAACCAAACAAAAAAAAAAACCCGATTATATACAAACGTATTAGGAACAAGTGCTGCGTGCAAAGAGAAGTTGTTTTGTAGGTGTGTGTGCTTTGTTTGAGTCGAAGGCTCATGTCTCTCTCCCTGCTACAAAGATGCTTTTGAAGCCAGAAAAGGAAGGGAACTCTCCTTTGAAACCTATTGTCCTGCAGCCTAAGTGGTCATTTTAAAATCTGTCGATTTTTTAGAAACGGAAATGAATGGCATGCAATTTTTCCACAAATGAAACTTTGTGGTTTCTGTTTTTTAAGTCTGTGGCAGAATTGGGAAACACATGGTGGCTACTGACCATTAGTCCAAATGGTTGGTTTTTCTATTCTTTAATGGTGTAAGACCTTATATTTGAATAAATTATTGCCCACAGTGGTACATGATAGCACCTGAAACGGGGACCAGTAGGCAGGAATTTGATGTAATGGAATTTATGAAATTTTGCTATGTATTACATTACATGTTGCTCTGGTATGATAATTGAATAGCATTGGTTTGAGGTAGTTAAGTAGTTAAAGTTAAGTTTAGGTAGTTAAGTAGTGATATTGTGAGGAAGAGCTATTTGATGGACCTAGGTTTAACATCTGCCCCACTAGCACTCCTGTTACAAATTAAAACAAAACAAAGCAAAACTAAAAATGCACCACTGACACTTGCTTTCTTGCTTTTCGATATTAAATTGTGGAGTGGTGGCAGCCTAACAAGAGGAGAGACTAGAGATTAGGGAGAGGGCATGGAGAAGCAAGGTTCTGCCTTAGCTGTGTGACTTTCGGGAGTCATAGAACTACTCTGGGCCTCCTCTTCCTGTCCGGCAAAATGAGAGGAAGCTATGCATAGACAAAGAGGCAGTCGTTCGAATAGATCAAGGGGATACTACGTGGTTTAAAATTGGAAAAGGTGTGTGTCAGGGTTGTATCTTTTCACCATACTTATTCAATTTGTATGCTGAGCAACTAATCCTAGAAGCTGGACTATATGAAGAAGAATGCGGCATCAGGATGGGAGGAAGACTCATAAACAACCTGTGATATGCAGGTGATACAACCTTGCTTGCTGAAAGTGAAGAGGACTTGAAGCACTTACTGATGAAGATCAGAGACTACAGCCTTAAGTATGGATTATGACTCAATGTAAAGAAAACAAAAATCCTCACTACTGAACCAATAAGCAACATCGTGATAAATGGAAAAAATATTGATGTTGTCAAGGATTTCATTTTACCTGCATCCACAATCAACACCCATGGAAGCAGCAGTCAGGAAATCAAAAGACGCATTGCATTGGGCAAATCTGCTGCAAAAGACCTCTCTGAAGTGTTAAACAGCAAAGATGTCACTTTGATGACTAAGGTACACCTGACCCAAGCTATGGTATTTTCCGTCTCCTCATATGCATGTGAAAGCTGGACAATGAATAAGAAAGACCGAAGAAGGACTAACACATTTGAATTATGGCACTGGTGAAGAATATTGAATATACCTTGGACAGCCAGAAAAATGAACAACTCTGTCTTGGAAGAGGTACAGCCAGAATGATCCTTAGCAGCAAGGATGGTGAGACTTCATCTCACATACTTTGGACATGTTATCAGGAGGGACCAGTTCCTGGAGAAGGACATCATGCTTGATAAAATAGAGAGTCAGCGAGTGGCTGGGTGGGTTCCAACTACCATCTTTCAGTCAGCATTCATGTGCTTAACTGTTGCACCACAAGGGCTCTCAGTAAAACCCAAATCTTGCAATGGCCTGTAAGCCTACTCAGTCTGGCCCTCCTTGGCCTATCCAATGTCATCTCCTACCACTTTCTCCATTCTCTTTGTTCCAGTCACCATGGGCTCCTTGCTGTTCTTTGAACAGGTCAGGCATGCTCCTGCTTGCCTTTGCACTGCCTATTTCCTCACCTAGAAACTTCTCCAGGTATTTATATAATCTTCTTCAAGTATATGTTGAAAAGTCACTTTCTTAGTAGTTTTTTACCAGGACTACCCTATATTTATAATTTCAGCCCTTCCAGCACTGGCAATTCAGATAGCTCTCACTCTTCTCAGATTTTAGGGTGCTTTCACATAGTAGTATAGTTGCACAGCCTGGTGACAAGTCACAGAATTGAGGAATGTAGCCTCCAATACAATTTCTTTAAATTACCATGTAACTTTTCTTACTCCTTAAGTATAATTAAAAAGTGTTTTATTCCCTTCTTCTTTTCCTCAGTTATTACATATAGCATGCATGAATATTGATTATACACATCGGTAGTCTAGAGACAGCAGAATGTTGGAACAGGACCATGACTGAAGAAAAAGAGAAAGGGACATTATCCAGAGGTCTGGGACTTGAAGAGCAGGGTCTCCATGAAACCCTCTGAAGCAGGAGGTGGACATGGTTATCACTCAGAGCAGTGGGGGGTGAGGACACGTGTGTGTGCAGTTGTATAAGGGATAGTTGCCCTATGTGAGGTATAAATGCTGAGTAGCTTAGAGAGAAATATAGAGGCTATTTTTTGGTCAGCCTTATGTGTTTTCTACTCTGATTCTAGCATTAGCTAAGTTCCTGGCCAGAGATTCACATGTAATCTGAGCTGGATGTTATATAGTATTTTAATCTTAGAAAATTAATACTCAGGTTTATCATGCATAAACTCATTTATTGCAAGGTAGTCATAGCAAGGCACACAAGTAAGACCTCACAGCATTCATTTAGTACTGGAAAATCAGAATTAACAATTACAATGTTAGTTCATTAGTTAGAGTCCAAATCTTTAGACTTCATGCCTTTACCCTTAACGAGAGGTCTCGGGAGGAATGCTTAACCACTGCTCAAATGTGGCAGAGGTCCCTGGTAACTAGGGCCCAAGGTGGGCGGTAGCAGACAGAATCTCAGTTCCATCTCTGCCTTTTTTCAGTGAGTGGGCAGAAATTTAGGGTTTATATGCAAATTTGTCACCTTGGCTCCACATGACAAGGGCCAGTGTGACTTGTCCCCTCGAGCAGCCCTTTGAAATCTTCTGTTCAGCTCTTTTACTTGATCATTTCTTCTATTCACTTAGCTACTCTATGTTCCAGAGCAAGCTTCGGAGTCTCTTCTGACATCAGTGTTGGTCTTTTCTTTCTTTCCTGTCTTTTTAATAACCTTTTGCTTTCTTTATTTATGATGTCCTTGATGTCATTCCAGAACTCGTCTGGTCTTTGGTCATTGGTGTTCAATGTGACAAAATCTATTCTTGAGATGGTCTCTAAATTCAGGTGGGATATACTCAAGATCGTACTTTGGCTCTGGTAGACTTGTTTTAATTTTCTTCAGCTTGAACTTGAACTTGAACATGAGCAATTGATAGTCTGCTCTGCAGTCGGCCCCTGGCCTTATTCTGACTGATGATATTGAGCTTCTTCATTGTCTCTTTCCACAAACGTACTTGATTTGATTCTTGTGTATTCCATCCATCAAGGTCCATGTGTATAGTCACTGCCAATGTTGTTGAAAAAAGGCATTTCCAATGAATAAGTCATTGGTCTTGCAAAATTCTATCGTGCGATCTCCAGGGTCCTTTCTATCACCAAGGCCATATTTTTCAACTACTGATACTCGTTCTTTGTTTCTAACTTTCACATTCCAATCACCAGCAATTATCAATGCATTTTGATTGCAGGTTTGATCAATTTCAGGCTGCAGAAGTTGGTAAAAATCTTCAATTTCTTCATTGTTGGCCTTAGTGGTTGGTGCGCAAATTTGAATAACAGTCGTATTAACTGGTCTTCCTCGTAGGCATGTAGATATTATCCTATCACTGACAGCACTGTACTTCACGATAGATCTTGAAATATTCTTTTTGACGATGAATGCAATGCCATTCCTCTTCAATTTGTTATTCCCGGCATATAGACCATATGATTGTCTGATTCAAAATGGCCAATACCAGTCCATTTCAGCTCACTAATGCCTAGGATATCAATCTTTATGTGTTCCATTTTAATTTTGACAGCTTTCGATTTTCCTAGATTCTTACTTCGTACATTCAGTGTTCCAATTATTAATAGATGTTTGCAGCTGTTTCTTCTCATTTTGAGTTGTGCCACATTAGCAAATGAAGGTCCCGAAAGCTTGATTCCATCCACATCATTAAGGTCGACTCTACTTTGAGGAGGCAGCTCTTTCCCAATTGTATTTTGAGTGCCTTCCAACCTCAGGGGCTCATCTTCCGGCACTATATCAGACAATGTTCTGCTGCTATCCGTAAGGTTTTTACTGGCGAATTTTTTCAGAAGTAGATCAACAGTCCTTCTTCCTAGTCTGAGTCTAGAAGCTCAGCTGAAACCTGTCCACCGTGGGTGACCCTGGTGGTATTTGAAGTACTGGTGGCATAGCTTCCAGCATCACAGCAACACGCAAGCCACCACAGTACAACGAACTGACAGACGAGTGGTGGCATCAGATGCTAATGCACTTACATTTCTGCATTTGGTACTGAATGTCCCTTTTTCATCTGTCCAAAGCAAATCCTTATATCCAGGCTTGGCTACTCTGCCCTTATTCCTCCTCAGAACATCAGTCCTAACACATCTTACCTCCCCACATTCGGTACCCTTCCCCCTCTCTCCCTTTGGGAGATTAAAAATACCTGAATCCCTATGTTTAAAAGACCAGCAAAAGCAACAGCAAAAACCCTTTTCACAATAGCAGACTCTCTCTAGCTACTGTCACATGGCAACAAAGAGTAGTCTTTATTTGCCATTTATCGCTCCTCAGAGGACTTCCAGTGGTTGTCTGCCCCCATCACTTTCCCCAACCAGAAGCTTCCAAATTGCTAGGGAACTGCTTGGTCCTCTGGAGGAGCCGATAGCCAAGGTTGGCAGCAGACGTGTCTACACATACCAGCTAAGGTCTCAGGAAGGAAAACTCCAGATTTTCTTGGGGAAGAGTGCACAGGCCCTGCTGCCATAGGAGCACTCCCGCAGGGTTTTGCAGGACCGGTGAGCACCTCGGGGTCGTCCCGCCCACGCGCGGGTGCAGTGCGTGGGGCGGAGCCGGGCAACAAGCTGAACCTGAGGGCCTGGCAGCGCCTACAAATGCGCGTGGCGGTGCCGGGGATGCGCCAGTTGCGGGATTCGATACCCCCAGGTAGGTCTCTGGGCTTCGGATTGAGGCTTGGGGCGGAGGCTGCGAGGCTGGGCCCGAGTGGGGGTCGCCCCGGGACTGGCAGGGCTTCAGCCAGGGGGGAGGTTGGTGAGATCTCAACGGTGCTAGAGAGAGGTTCAACCTAAGGAGGTTGGGAGCGGGTCTTCTTGAGGGTGGGAGGTGGCCAGGTGGCCGTGGGTTTGCTCAGCTCTCTGTCGGATTTGGGGGTAGGAGGTGTCAGTTTCCCTTAGCGCCACTGCTGGAGGAGGGAGGGGAGACCTGCCCGGGTCACTCTTCGGGCCTTACTTAACACGGTGCCTTTGGGCAGCCTGGGGGCTACTGTCTAAGCCGCCACCTGGGCCTGGAGATCTGAAGGGGTACTAGAATGATTTATCTGACTTACAAGAGTTTTGCACTGCCCATTACTAAACGTGGGAACCTGTCTTTCAGCTTAGAAAATGAACTCCTCTTCAGAAAACAACGCACATTTTGAGAGCAACAACGTCAGACCTTTTCTTTATGGGCAGCCCACAGCCCAGTGGCCTTACCCGGGTCCGTGGTACCTGAGCCCTGTCCATAATCCTTTCTGTGTTTCTGGGGCAGGTAAGGACTTCTGTAAGCAAACTCTTGAACCTTGCCTGATACATTTCTCCATTGTCTCCCTTCCTTCACCCTGCCCCTGAAGCAGGCTGGATTGTGGCAGCAGATGGGGCAGTGTTTGAGGTTAACGCTAACAGCTAAAATTTGAATGCTAGCTATATGGCAGTTGACTGAGTATGTAGCATGGGTTCTCTCATTTGATCCTCACAGCAACCCCATGAGATAGGTGTTATTGCCCTCTGGTTTCACAAGTGAGAAATGTGAGGTTTGAAGAGTCACTTGTCCAGGGTCATACAGTAGTAAAGCCAGGAATCTCATCCTTATGTTCTGAGATTAGTCTGGGTAGCAGAGGCAATTTAGTTGAAGTATAGAGTCCCTGAGTGGTGCTCACGGTTAAGTGTTTGTCTACTAGCCAAAGGTTGGCAGTTGGAACCCACCCAGACAGGCCTAATGATCTGCTTCTGAAAGGTGACAGCCATTGAAAACCCTATGGAGCAGTTCTCTTGAGTCTGAATTGACCAGATAGCAACTAACAATAACAAAGCCCCTATAATCCTTTCAACAAGACCTAAAGATTCTGAAAACTTCTATATAGAGGTCAAAAAAAGGCTTCAGGGTGAGGACAACCAAGACTTTTAAAAATGTTTGAAGGTGAGCTTTATATTTAGAATTTCTTTCCATACAATAATTTAATGGGAAAGGGTTTCATAGAGAGATAATGACAAGCAGAGAGGGAGATAAAGGAAGAGGGTACCAGAGGAACCCCAGGGAAATAAATGGTGATCTTTCTTTCTCACTTACCCAGTAGCAAACCAGTTGCTTTCATATCAAGTCCAGCTTATGGTGAGTCCGTGTGTATCAGAGTAGACCTGTGCTCCATAGAGTTTTCAGTGGCTAATTTTTTAGAAGTAGATTGACAGGCACCTCTGGGTGGACTTGAACCTCCAACCTTCTGGTTACAGCTGAGCCCATTAACTGTTGGCACCACCCAGGGGCACCTCCAGTAGCAAAGATAATGTTAAACTTAATATTCTGTGAGCCCAGCTGTAGATAAAGCATGTTGTATAGTTTATGTAACTGTTTTCCAAGTTAGGAAACTAACTTATGATAAGGAGTGTTTTTGAGATGATAGTCACAGCTCCTAGCTGGGAAGTGGAATCTTTATGTCCTGAGTAAGTAGCTGTTTGGGGCAGCTGTGGCTGCTATTTTGAGCAGAGGAAGGGATTGCATGAGGGAAACTCTTAAATTATAGAGGGGGAAAATAACTGAAAGAAATACATGTATTATATCTGAAGCATTGTTTGAATTAAAAAGACCAAACCCATTGCCTTCGAGTTGATTCTGACTCACAGCAACCCTATAGGACAGAGTAGAACTGCCCCATGGGGCTTCCAAGGAGCGGCTGGTGGACTGAAACTGCCTACCTTTTGGTTAGCAGCCAAGCTCTTAACCAGTGTGCCACCAGGGCTCCTTCTTTGAATTAAAGGGGTAGAATTCTTTACCTCTGCTGTTCTTCTAACTAACCTTCCTATTCTATTCCACCCAAGTTTTTAAAATTTAGTTTGTCCTTTAGAGTTCTGGTTTATGGAGAATTAAAAAAAAACATGAGAACTAGGAGTTGGAATACGTTCTGTATTAGGTCCTTTTTTAATTGCGTGTGACACCACCTAACTCAAACTGATTTAAATGACAAAGGGAATTTATAGGGTTAATTAACTCATGTAACTTGGAAGTCCAGGAGTGCAGTGACTTCAGGTTGGCTAGATATAGGGACTCAAATGGAGTCTTCATTTGTAGGTTCTGATTTCCTTTGTTTTGGTCTCATTCTCAGCCATCACCTCATGGTGGCAAAGATGGTCACAGCAGTTCCAAGCATGTACTGATCTTATAAAGGAGCCCTGGTGGCACAGTGATTAAGTGCTCAGCTGCTGACTGAAAGGTCGGCGGTTCGAACCCACCAGTTGCTCCACAGGGGGAAGATGTGGTAGTCTGTTTCTGTAAAGATTACAGCCTTGAAAGCTCTATGCAGCCATTCTGCCTTATCGTTTAGGGTTGCTATGAGTCTGAATTGACTCGATGGGAACAGGTTTTTGGCTGGGACTGATACATGGATAGTGATCTCAGAGAACAGCCCTCTCTCCAAGTCGTCCTAACAAGAGTTCCAGAGTCCCTCCCTGAACTAATTGCCAAAGCCAGGAAGATGGGTTAATGTCATTGGCCAGTCTAGGATTTGTGCCTCCTTTTGGAGGTGGTGGGAGCTACCCCATACCACTTGGAAAGAGATTGCGTTTCCTTTCTCAAAGGACACTTGAGGTGAGGGACTGTTATTACCAAAGGAAGATAGCAAGGTTGCTAGGTATGAAAAGAGGTGTTCATTATAGATTTATTGAAGATAAATTACCTTATTATTTTTAGATAGAATTAGTGACTAGCTAATCAGAGGAATGTATTAGAAGGTGACCAATAGCTTGATGAAATTGGGTATTAAACAGCATGACAGTGTCATGGGCAAAATGTGGAGATGCGGGCTGGGTGATTATACAACTACATAAGTTCACAATTAGCCAAGTATGCTGGTTGGTGTTAACCTAAAGGGCAGTTTCTTGTGACTTACTTTGTTCCTAGTTATTTTGACTAGGAATTTTTCAGAACTGGAGGCGTAACTAATCTCTGACACAAACAAGATCTTTCCAGTTGAAACTGCGTTTTTTTAAATTGAAAAGTAATCAAATACATAGGGTTAAAAATTAAAACAGTATAGAATCATATAAAATGTTTCCTTCTAAATCCAGTTTTCCACTCTTCCAGTCCCCTCCCCATTGGCTAATACTGTTCCCAGTTTCTTGGGTATCTTTTCAGATACCCACTATGCATATCTACCTCTTTTTAAAAAATTTAATTGGATATACAAAACACAGTGCAGTAAGGTTAAAATAAGAGGACAAAGTACACGTTTTTATAATAGGTTGTATTGTATAAATATTAACTTTTCTGTGCCTCAGTTTGCTCCTTTGTAAAATGAGCTGAATTAGATTTTGATAGAAGCTGGGGAGGAGAGCAGCGAGGGAGAATGACCCAGAAGAGGGAAGATCATGAGATAGATTGGCAGTCTACTGGAGGAACCTCAACTAGGCCTAGAACCTAGGATCTTGCTGAGCGGATGGTGAGATGTTGACGTGAGAAACCAAGTAATGGCAGCTCAGAAAATTCTGATGCCAGCTGTAGTGCTGGCAGAGTTCTGGAGGCCCCTTGTGCCTGTCATTGCCTCTTTATTTGCTGACTTCTGGAGATATCCAAGGAGACCACAAGGAGGAACTGGGGACATTAGCCACTTAACAACTAAAATGGAAGAAATTCAATAATTTAACAACTGATGTGTACTGCTGATTATTGGTACTGGCTGCAGGTGTCATAAAATGGCTAAGTAAGTTATATTCCCTCTCTAGGTTTCAGAAATGGAAATCCATACTTTCCATATTATTCACTGGCACTGAGTGAGTATCCTGGCTTTCTTGTGCCACAGTCTCTGGTGCCTACCAGAGTTAACCGAAGACCTCCATTCCCTGTGTATCATCATACCACACAATTCTGGCACTATAATGGCCTTGGGAAAAAAATGAAAACCAAAGAGACTCAAACTGATCCTCAGAAGCCTGAAAACAAATGCAATAAACAAGATATCCACTCAGAAACCAACAGCCACGAAATCGATAGTGTGGCCAGTGTTCTTACTACTACTATTGAAACAGAAACTGGCAACGCCCCTGAAAAAACAAGTGGAGCTTTATCTTCTGTTGCTCAGGAGAGGGAGCTACACCATAACAGCTCTTGGAATACCACTCCTTATAGAAATACACCTACAGGAAGTTATGCCTTTGAGAAGGAGGACGTGAGAACAGACTATGGCAATGGATTCCCTGCAAGACAGTCCTCAGAGACTTTTAAAGAAGCCATTCTTTTGCATGACTTGGCCTATGGCAAAGCCATGCCAGAGGACAGGGTGCAGCACAATCTGATTTCAGGTGAAAGCATGGCTGGTGTGCACTGTAACCCTCCAGAGGGTGAGGATGACATTATCTATACAGATGAGCAAAGAGCTGCTGTGCTGTCGGAGCAGTGTCCTGAAGGAGTACGAGACAAGGAGTCAGGATCTGGCCTGGAGATGAGCTTGGATAAAGAAAAGAAGGGGTACGGGGCTGTTTCTAGAATCCTGTCACCGCCAGTTAAAGTAGAAGCTGCAGATGATGGCCAGTCAATTGAAAGCCAGAATATCCCAAGGCCAGAAGTATGCAAGTCTACTGAAGATGTGAATGATTTCCAGCAGGGGAGTCCACTCTGTTCCAGCAAGAAACCTATTAATGACCTGAGCCTGCAGTCCAATGCCCAGAACCCTCTCAGTGATGGGGAAAGAGTGCTGGACATCAGTTTTGTCTCCCCTGAGACAGTGCCTCTTTCTTTGCCTTCCTGGCTGGCCCAGTGCAAGTATGTTGATGAAGCGATCTCTTGTGATATGTCCCAGTTCTCATGGAATAATCCCCCGACTTCATCTGAGAAAATGTCCAATCAAGAAATGCTCTTAAATGAGGAACTTGAGGCGGCTTATTACAAGGATTTTGACAAATTTACAGAATGTCTCCATCATCAAAGAGTATAAACTGAAGAAAGGCAAGAGGCCAGACTTTGTAAAGGAGAAAGGCAATAAACCACAGTATGAAAAGGAGAAAGGCAGGAAGTCTGAAGCCCCTACTAGCTCCCAAACGGAAGGACAACTTATGCGTTAAAGAAAAATGCTGCCTTGGACAGCTCCCTCTCTGAGGATTCAGAAGACTGGGAGATAGAAGAGGAAAGTGAAGATGATGATAAGGAGATGTATGAGGTAGAATGTCTCTTTCAGGAAGTACGTCCACAGGGTCATCCAGATTTTTCCAGATGCAAACTTTATCAATAGGTTGGCAGGAGGGTAATCTGGAAGCCTTCCAAGAGCCCCCTGTCTCCCCAGCTCATCCTCTGGCCCACCAGAAATAAGCTGAAGTTGAAGCTTCGTGCTTATGAGAGCATCCCTCTGGTATACAAGGCGAAGGAGCAGGAAGGCTGTGAAACTGCTTATGACAGGCACCCGAAGAAACATAGCATGGCCAAGCAGGAGTCAAAGAGAGCTTCTCATATGTCTCTAGAAAGTAAGTAATTAATGGGCGCAGATATCCTATTTAGTTGTCTGTAGGAGTTGCACATTGGGGCCTGGAAGAGAAGGCAGCCTTGGGTTAATTCCATGTTTCTCAGTTTTGAAAGTAAGTTTTCACTTGAGCCACAAGTGCCCATAACTGTGGGGCATACAAATAGAATCTCAAGTTAGGGCTCCTGCCTTCTAGGAGGTTGTGATGTAGTTTGAGACAAAAACCCCACGTAGGTGATGATACAGAGCTGTGTGATGGTAAATGAGTGGGTTCAGGTGTTCAGAAAAGGAGAGAGAGAGACAGATGTCACTGGGATTGCTGAGGAGAGGCAGTCCACATGAAGGCAGTGACTTTGGTGTGGACTTTGGAGATGTGGTTTGGAGTAGAAAGGATGAGAAGTGGGCAGTGGGCATGGAGACAGCAGCAGAAGTCAAATGGGCAGCCTGGGCAGGGCAGGTGTGTTCCAGGGGTTCAGCCTGAGACCGTCCTGCCAGAGGGGAGACTTGTGGTGATGGGTTGGGACAGAAGTGAGGCCAAGAATTCTCCTTTACTTCTATAGAGTTTTATCCTGTAGGCAATAAGGGGCCAGTACAAATTGAACAAGGAAATGTGTTTTAGGAGTGTTAAAAAGGCAGTATTATTTAGGAGGCATTAGAATGGAGAGTGCCTGTATGCCTGGACCTTGTAAGAAGTCTTTTGGATTAATTGGATATGAGTTGATGAGGGTCCTAACTCACAGTAGATAGAAGATATAGACATCATAGCATGTGCCAGGAGGCTGGAGCACAGCTGTTTGAAGCTTTGACACTGAGCAGGGATGGCCCAGAGTAGAGCTTTGGGGGTGCAGAGGATGAAGACCTGCCAGCCGGCACGTGAGGCACAGGGTGTATAAGGGCCCTAAAACAAACAAACAAAAAAACCCAAACCTGTTGTTGAGTCAGTTCTGACTCAGGGTGATCCCATGTGTAGAACTGAGCTCCGTAGGGTTTTCTAGGTTGTAATTATTACAGAAGCAGATCGCTAGGCCCTTTCATCTGCGGTGCTGCTGAGTGGGTTTGAACCACCAGCAGCCTTTTGGTTAGCAGCCTAGTGCAAACCGTTTACACCATCTAGGGACCATCATAAGGACCATATAAAGAGGTTTTAATTAGGTTCTAGTACTAGCAAGAAAAACTTCAGTTATTTGCCTATCGCTTCTAGTTCTTAAACTGGTTTTTACTCGAGTGGAGTGCTATTTATGTTCCTTGTTTGTGGTTTTGGTGATTTCTGTGTCCAAAGATGCAAAAACTGCTCTACAGGAGTTTGGGCAAGTTTGTAAACTTTTATTGCATCTGCTTCATGATATGGGTCACAGCTAAGGATGAACTCAAGGAATTCAGAGGCCACAGTCCTAAAAGAAGTCAGACTATTATTAAATAGTTAAACTCTTGGCTGTTAGTTGTCATGATTTTGATTTATACCCAGTGACTTAGAAAGTAATTTTCAAAAATGCAGACTTTAGGGTATGAACCAGTTTTTTTGTTTTTTTTTGGCCTTGCTTGATTACTCTCTGCTTATAAGGAATAAGGAAGGCAAAAGAAACGAATGTTCTGGCCACTACCTGGGGAGACCCTCCTGCACAATAAATGGAAGTGTTTTCCATTGGAAAGTATTTGTAAACCTTCTTGCACAATAGTTTACATCATAAAAATAAATGGAAATTTCATTCTTTAATTACTATTTAAAATAGAAACACTGCCCAACTTCTTTACCCTTGGTGTTCTCAAAGTCTTATTTGCCTCTGCTTACCTTCTCAGTGTATATGAATGATTTTTTCCGTAATTGGGGAATGCCATTAGTTTTTAGCTTTATTCTCTGTACTACCTTAACACTGTAGTTTAGTAGCTCCAGCATTTTCTTCCTTGGCTGTGTCTGAAAGAACTTGGTCCTATCAAATAGCATTAACCTGTCTGTTAGTGAAGGCTTGTGTGTTGTTATGATGCTGAACAAGTTTCAGCAGATCTTCCAGACTTAGAGGGACTAGGAGGAAAGACCTATCTACTTCCAAAAATCAGCCAGTGAAAACCCTGTGGATCGCAATGGTCCAATCCACAACCAATCATGGGGATGGCGCAGGACCAGGCAGCATTTTGTTCCATTGTGCATAAGCTCAACAACAGTGTGCTAGTAGTTCAGTTATATATATTTTTTATTATATAATTTTATTTATTTCATTGTTGAGAATATACACAGCAAAACATACACTTATTCAACAGTTCTACATGTACCATTTAGTGACATTGATTACATTCTTTGAGTTGTATAACTATTCTCATGCTCTTTTTCTGTGTTGTTCCTCCACCATTAACATAAATTCACTGTCCCCTAAGGTTCCTATCTAATCTTTTGAGTTGCTGTTATCAATTTGATCCCATATAGTTATTAAAAGAGCGTAAAATTTCAGTTATATTTTCACTTAATCCTCACAATAGCCCTGGGAAGAAGATAATCACGAACTGAGGTCAAAGTTAAAAAATTTACTCAGAATTACACAGTCAAGATTTAATTTCCAGGTATAAAGTTTCTCTTCCCCAGATAATGTCTATTAAATAGTTATTCTGTTGCTGTCAAGTGAAAGCTTTTGATGCCAGGGCTGTAGGATGGAATATGAACATAGAAAAAAATCTTGAAAAAGTCATTTTCTTAATGTCTGTTTTTTAATTTGTTTTTCCCCTTGGGTTTAAATAACTTAGGTTATTGAATGTCTGAATCTTTTCTTTCAGGTAGCTCTGCGAGATCAAATAGGAAAGTGTGTTCTAGGCCAACAGATAAATCAGAGATTTGAGGCTGATGCTGTAGAAGTTTGGGACGTACTTAGCCAATACAGAGGTTGCTATCTAGCCTATATTAAACTTTGCTATCTTAAGATTTATATTTAGGACATCATTTGCTTGGTTCCTACCCAGTATATATTCTGCCTTCCAAACCTAGCACTGCTGTGACCAGTAAGCAGCAGCATTCTAATTAGGTAACAGACCTGCCTATAAACAGATCCTACCTAGTTTACCAGGTTGGATTAAAAGCCAAAGCCTTTAAATACTGTCGAATACCCAGTGAGTTTTTATAATGATTTCTCAAATTTAATTCTGGATGCTGATAATGATACTAAGTTGTGAGTTAAATGGGATTTTGCAAGTTATCCCAGTGTTTTTGCTATGAAAGTATCCTAGTTTAGAAGTGGGTATTGGAAGCTTAGCATAGCCCTTGAGACAGCTAGTAACATGAAAGGCCTCCCTTAGCACTGAGGCTTGACAGTGAACATCCCTGCCACGCGCCCTCATCCCTAACCCTGGGGCATCAGGGCTAACGCTCTGGGAGCAGTCCATGACTGTAAAGGCCACTCCTGCCCTGCAGTAGTCAGAAAGGTAAGACTAAGCTCAGGTGAAATGACAAGACCTTTTGCATTATACTAAAGATGGAAACTAAAGGTACATTGATAATGATTCTCTGCTTAACTTGTATCTTGAGTCTGTTTTACAGCAGAATAAAGGACATGTTTATTTGTTCCATTATTTTTTCATAGGAAACAAATTTGATGCACGTCAGCTACAAAGAAGAGTTTAACACTGCATGTGACCTGATGCGAAAGAACATGTGATCTTTTTCTCTGTTGGGCCTAATAAAACTCTTGTCTTCTGACTATTAACATAATGTGGCAAATAAAGTCTTTTGAATTTTATAAGTTGTAAAGTTGTTAACAAATGGAATTGCATATGTGTGTAGTTTTTTTTTTTTTTTGGAGCTTTTTTTTTTAAATTTTGGTGAAAGTGTACACAGCCAAAGATACACCATTTCAACAATTTGTAACACTGGCTACATCCTTCAAGTTGTGCTACCATTCTCTCTATCCTTTTTCAAATATTCCACCACCATTATCTTCAACTCATTGCCCCCTAAGCTTCTCATCCAACCTTTCGAGTTGCTATTGTCAATTTGATCTCACATAGATAATTCTTTAAAAGAGCACAATGCTCAAAGCAGACTATTTAAGCTATTTCTTGGTTCAAAGAAGACTTCAGGGGATAATTTTGGTTTGAGGTTTAAAGTTTATCTCAGGGCAATAGTTTTGGGGGTTTGTCCAGCCTTATTGGCTTCAGAATGTCTGGATTCCATTGAGAATTTGAAATTCTTTTCTATGTTTTTCCCCCTTTTGATCAGGATTCTTCTATAGAATTTTTCATCAAAACATTCAGTAAGGTAGTTGGGCACCATCCAGTTCTTCTGGTCTCATGGCAAATGAGGCATTTGTTCATGGAGGTAACCAGACACATTTGATTTCCTCCTCCAATTCCTGGCTCTCCTTGCTTTGTTGTTTCAGGTAAATGGAGACCAATTGTTGTACCTTGGATGGCTGCTTGCTAGCTTTTAAGACTCCAGGCACTACGCAGCAAACTAGAAGGTAGAACAGAGGCACTTAACATGCTATTAGGCCAGTTGATTGAGATGTCCCTCAAAACCATGACCCTAAACCTCTAAACTGAGGAACCAAATCCCATGAGGTTTTTGGTTGTACATGATCAGCCTCAGCAGCTTCTCTTTCTTTTGTTGTTGTTGTAAATACATCACACAACTTTTGCCAGTTGAACTTTGTACAGGCATACAACTTATTCACAACAATTACAGTAATCGGCTGTGCAACCCTACTCTTAATGTGTGTGTGACTCATGCATTCTTGAGCATCACCACCAATAGTGTGGGATAAAACTAGGTGTTCCAACTCAGTTTGCCATGTGTACTTCTGTCTTCTCATCTTCAGGGAAAATAATGGTGAAGCTGAGGACAATAAACACACTAACAATTCCCCAGAGATTGGAACTACCCTGGGGTTTGGGACTGTGTCTTAATCATCTTTATAAATAATGACTAGGCACATAGTAGGTCCTTGATATTAACACTGATGGTTGTGTTCAGGGGTGGGAGTGACACCTTATACCCCTGCATTGACCAGTCATTGTGATGCAGGATGCCCCCGGCAACAGGGCATCACCTTGAGTGGCTCTCTCAGGAAATGGCAATCCCTGGAAAGGGAAAGTCAGTTGTAAGCTGTCAACTGTCTACACTCCCAGCACCTGGATTACTTTAGTTCTGAAGATGGGGCAGGTGGGGGGAGGGGTGAGTGCTAGGCATGGGGAAGGGGTAAATATGGATGGTGCAACATAGGATATTCCTCAACTTGCAAATCATGTTCCAAGTGGAGAATCTCTTTAATAAATCTGTATTGAACACCACTTATGTGTCATTGCAGTGAAATGAGTTCCTCTATGTGGCCTCTTGTCTTGGTTCTTTGGAAAAACAGCTTGAGAGAGATTTTCCTTCTAAGCCCTGAGTTACCTTTGCCCTAGTTCTTTGGAGAAGCAACTTCCGGAGGAGGCTCCTGGTTGTTTTCTACCCCAGAGGGTTTGTTACTTATGTCCCAATTGATTGACATTTCCTGGGTAAGCTGTACAACTTGACTGCTTGATACTTTCTGTCTAGCCATGGGTTGCAGTCTGCCATGTGATTGGTCTATTTTATGTACCTTGCAGGGACTGGTCAGTTTACCATGCATATTGAATGACTTGCAGTCCACCAAGGGGATTGGTCAGTTTGTGGTACTGCTGGGAGAGCCATGCCTTGAAATTGACAAGGAGATGGCTTATATAAGCAACAATCTCACAGAGGTTTTAGAGAGCCGCGAAGAGAGAAAAAGCAGAGGGAGGGGAGGTGAGGAACCTTCTGAAAGAGCTGTAACATGGTGAGCGACGTGGAAGGGGACCTCTGGCAGAATCATCAGTGATAGCAGAAACCTGCTGCTAGGCAGCTCAGAGAGCTGAGAAAGCTGCTACACTGGCTATGAGCTGGGCCAGTCAGCAGTGGAGAGGCCAACAACAAGGAGGCTGAAAGCAGAGAGGCTTGCACAGCTGAGAGGATGTGTGCACAGCCAAGAGGAAGCATGCACAGCTGAGAGGGCGCATGTATGGCAGAGAAGGGCCTGCCTGCTTGCACAGCAGAGAGAAGAGCCTATTTGCTTGCACAGCTGAGAGGAGCTGTGAGAGCTGTCCTGCACTAAAGAAGGTAGGGATGTGTTTTCTACTTTGGAGAAGCCTTCTAGACTTTGCCTACATGCTTCCTGATCCTGATCCCAAGTTGTAGCCTGTTGATCCTGATCCCAAGTTGCACCCTGTTAATTCCTTAATAAACTCCTTAACTGTAAGTATAATTTGTGAGTTCTGTGAGATGTTGCAGTGAATTGCTGAACCCAAATGGAGGAGGGAGAAGGGCTGAGGGGAGAAGAAATGGCTGATGTCAGAGATGGACTGGCACAGCAGCTTGGAGAAATTGGAAGTCTGGGACATATTTGACCTCTACCTCATAGGAATTGGCTTTGTGTTGATTCTTGTATTTGAAATTATCAGGCAACACATTCATGTACTATACAAGATGTTCTCTGTTCCTCAAGATGCTTCCAGACTAGTAGGCAGTTAGGCAAAGAAATAGTTACAGTAGAGTGTTGTGATGGTTAAAGTTGTGTGTCAACTTGGCTGGGCCATGATGCTCAGCAGTTTGGAAGTTATGTAATGATGTAATTTGGCAGTTATGTAATGATGTAGTTATTCTCCATTTTATGATATAATTCTGTCTTAGTCATCTAGTACTGCTTTAACAGAAATACCACAAGTGGATGGCTTTAACAAAGAGAAATTTATTTTCTCACAGTCTAGTAGGCTACAAGTCCTGATTCAGGGCGTCAGCTCCAGGGGAAGGCTTTTTCTGTTGGCTCTAGTGGAAGATCCTTGTCGGCATCAATCTTCCCCTGGACTAGGAGCTTCTCTGTGCAGGAACCTCGGGTCCAAAGGACGCACTCTGCTCTCTGCGCTGCTTTCTTGGTGGTATGAGGTCCCAAACTCTCTGCTTGCTTCTCTTTCATCTCTTGTAAGATAAAAGGTGGTGCAGGCCACACCCTAGGGAAACTCCCTTTATGTTGGGTCAGGGATGTGATCTTAGTAAGGGTGTTACACAATTCCACCCTAATCCTCTTAAGCATAAAACTACAATCACAAAATGGAGGACAACCATGCAATACTTTGAATCACGGCCCAGCTAAATTGAAATACATATTTTTTGGGGGACATATTTCAATCCATGACAAATGTGATCACCTCCAAGATGTGATCTGATGTGATCAGCCAATCAGTTGTAAGGGGACTTTCCTCGGGAGTGTGGCCTGCATCCAATAAACATATAGATGTTCTGCAAAGCTCACTGCCTTTTGCTTGTTCTGGATCCTGCATCTGGCTCATCATCATCTAACCTCTGGTTCTTGGGACTTGAGCCAATGGCCTGCCATACTCCATGCCGATCTGGGGATTCTTCAGTCTCTGCAGCCTGTGAGCCAGCAGCCTGAAGTCTGACCTGCTAATCTTGGGTTCATTAGCCACTGCAGCTATATGAGTCAGGAGAAGCCTCCAGCCTGATGCCTGACCCATGGACTTTGGACTTGCCAGCCTCTACAACTCTGTGAGTCATTTCTTTGAGATAAATCTCTCTCTAACCAGTTGCTGTCCAGTCGATTCTGATTCATAGTGACCCAGGAGGGTCCAAGGAGTACCTGGTAGATTTGAACTACTGACCTTTTGGTTAGCAGCCATAGCTCTTAACCACTATGCCACCGGGGTTTCCAAATCTGTCTATATACATACATATATATGCTTCAATGGTTTTGCTTCTCTAGAGAACCCAGCTTCAGACAAGTGTGATGGATGCTTTGATTGCAGCAAGCTCCAGATGTTGAGGAAGCTTAGAGGATGAATGCCTTACAGCTTCTGGGAGGGATCAAGCTAGGCTTCTGACCCAACCACTGAGCTGTCTGGTGGCGCCATTTGCAGAAGAAAGGAATACTAACAGCATTGGGTTTGTGAGAGGGATATGGTGATTAGTTCAGTTTCAGACTAATGGAGTTTACAGTGCCTATGGGACATTAAGGTTTGGATTAGCATCATTGGTATGTTGATGGCATTTGAAGCCATATAAGTTGATGAGATCACCAAAGAGTGAAGAGAAGGCATAGGCCAGAACTGTGAGAAACATCAGTGTTTAAAGGACATAGGACAAGAGTCTGCAAGGAAGAGCAAGAAAGAGCAGTCAGTGAGCTAGTTAAGTGGAGAATCTGGAGAGGGGTGTCATGAAATCCAGTGGAAAGGATGTTTCAAGAAAAAGTGGTCAATGATGTCAAATGCTAGAGAACTCAAGAAAAGGACTGAGAAGAATTTGTTAGACTTGATAACAGTGAGGTCACTGACAGTCCTTAGGAAGAGCACTTTCAGTAAAGCTGTAGGAGTGGAAGCCAGAGCCCGGTGGACAAAGAAGGGACAAGAGCTAATTAAGTAAAGACAGCAAACACAGGCAACTCTTTCAAGAAGCTTTGCTATAAAGCAGTGATTCTCTACTGTGAATGAGTTTCCCCCCCCAGGGAACATATGACCATTTCTGGAGATATTTTTCATTATCACAGCTGGCAAGTGCTAGTGGTATATAGTGGGTAGAGATGTTACTAAACATCCTACAATTCACACAATAGAATATTGATGTTGTTGTCCTGTCGAATCATTTCTGACTCATAGAAACCCAAGAGGACAAAGTAGAACTACTGCACAGGATTGTCTAGGCTGAAATCTTTATGGGAGCAGATCACCAGGTCTTTTCTCCCGCAGAGCTGCTAGTGGGTTCGAACTGCAGATCTTTTGGTTAGCAGCTGAGCACTTAACCATTGTGCCACCAGGGCTCCTTCACAACAGCATAAACACTGCCGTCGAGTCGATTCCGACTCACAGCTACCCTATAGGACAGAGAACTGTCCCGTAGGGTTTCTAAGGCTGTAAATCTTTACGGAAGCAGACTTATACATCTTTCTTCCACAGAGCGGCTGGCAGGTTCAAACCATCAACTTTTTGGTTAGCAGCTGTGCACTTTTAACCACTCCACCACCAGGGTTCTCTTCACAATAAACCCTTACAACTAAGACTTATCTGGTCCAAAAAGTAAATAGGGCTGCAGCTGAGAAATACTACTAGAAATGAGAGGAAACAGCTAGAGAGAGAGATGGGATCAAGGTGGAATTCTTTTTTGTTAAGGTAAGAGTGACCTGAGCTTGTTTAAATGCTGTTAAATAGGGAAACGGGCCCCTTCATATACTGCAAGAAGATATGTAAATTGGTACAGACCTTTTTGGAGGGTAATTTGGTAGGGTCCATGAAAATTAAAGATACATAATTCCACTATTAGGGTCTATTCTATTGAAATACTTGAACATGTACACTAAGATATTTACTCAAGGATTTTCACTGCAATGTTGTTTGTATAGTAAAGCCTGCTAAAACTGGAACCTGTGTAAGGTGGAAACCTGTCAGAGAAGGAAAGCTCAAATATTTTCCACTAATAGAGAGAGATAGAAAAGTGGTAAGACTGCACCCTGTCAAAGGCGGAAAAGCTTGCGAGACCTGGAAAAACAAGGCAGTCCCATCAAGTTCCAGCTCTCACAGGTTTCACTGTAGTAGTGACAAACTGGAAACAATCAAACTGTGATTAATGAATCATGGCACATTCAAACCAAGGAATCTGCAACCATGTAAAGCCTGCAGTAAATCTATGGAAAGAGTAACAGTGTAGTAAGTGAAAAAGGCACAGAACAATATTCATAGCGTTATTCAGTTATGTAAAATAAAACAACAAAAAAAACTATGTGTGTGATGACATGTTTGATAATGCATTTTAAAAAAGATTTGGAAGGCTATGCCTTTTCTCTTTTTACTCTATGCCTCTGAACAGTGAAACGTTTGAGCACGTACGACTCACAATTTTAAAACAATTTTTAAATGCTGATGGCAAGACAGCAGTAGAAAGGAAGGAGTTTGAAGACATGAGTGAGATGGGATAATGAAAAAATGAAGATACTTAAAAAAGTGGGAGTAGAGGATGATGATAATACAGTAATAGTAGTAGCAGGAGCAGCTAACATTCATTTAGCACTTAAAATGTGCCAATTTCTGTTCTAAATGTTTTATGAGTATCAAGTCATTTAGTTCTCATAATGACCCTATGGGGTAAATACTACCTCTGTTTTACAGGTAAGGGAATGGAAGCACAGGGAGATAAGTAACTTGCCCAGTCTCACAGATAGTAAATGGTGCAGCAGGGATTGAAACCAGTCTGGATCCAAATCCTGTGCTCTTATACACTGCCCTCTATTGCTGGCTGATAATCAGGGTCCAAAGCATAGGTGGATTGGCTTGACAGGAAGAGGGAAACCTGCTTAAACCACTATATTAGTTTTCTATTGCTGTGTAACAAATAACTACAAACTTAGAGTGGCTTAAAACAACAGCCATTTATTATCTCAGAAGTTTGTGCACGCTCAACTGGGTTTCCTGTTTAGTGTCTTACAAGGCTAAAACCAAGGTGTAGGCAGGGCTGGGCTCTTATCTGGAGTCTCTTGAGAAAAATATACTTCCAAGGTTGAGGTTGCTTGGCAGAATTCAGTTCCTTATAGCTGTAGGACTGAGGTCCCCATTTCATTGCTGGCTGTCGGGGAGGATACTTTCAGCTCTTAGAGGCCATCACATTTCTTGTCATGTGGGCCCTTTATCTTTAAAGCTCACAATGGCACATCAAATCTTTCTCATGACTGGACTCTTTCTGATTTCCTCTTTTGCTACCAGCCAGAGAAAACTCTCTGGTTTTAAAGGGCTCATGTGTTAGGACCACACAGATAATCTCCTTTTGATTAGGTCAACTGTGGTGTAACAATCTAATCATGGGAGTAAAATCCATTGTATTAACAGGCCTGGAGATTAGGAAGAGGAGCCCTGGCGGTGCAGTGGTTAAGCACTCGGCTGCTAACTGAAAGGTCGGCAGTTTGAATCTACCAGCCACTCTGTGGGAGAAAGATGTGGCAGTCTGCTTCCGTAAAGATTTACAGCCTTGGAAACCCGATAGGGCAGTTCTACTCTGTCCTACCTGGTTGCTATGGGTTGGAATTGACTCGACGGTAATAGGTTCTGTTTTTGGGAATTAGGAGGGGAAATCTTGGAGGCCAATTTATAATTCAGCCTACCACAACCAAGATGTTGGGTTGGTAGGAATCTTGGTGAAGGGAGGCCTGAGGCTATGTTGCCTTCCGGATCGGAATGGAGCATTGAGCCTGAGGAAAGAGGTTTGAGGATTGAAGGTTTGGATAGATGATTAGAAAACTTTTGGCTTGCTCGTCAGCTTTATGGAGACAGTTGAGTTTGAAGATGGCCACCAATCTACATGGCTGAGTGATTTTCTCCAACAGTCTGGATTTAGGAGCAGAGGAGGAAGACTTTGGCTTGAAGTTCTCATGTGTAAGCTGGGCAAACGACCACAGGTCAAGGGTGATGATAGGCAGAAGTGATGGACCATGGAATGTAGGCCAGAAACAGAAAGCAGATAAAATCGGAGTAAGGGGGGAAGGGACAACAATTACTTACAAAGGGATGGTCAGATTCCAGTTAAGGCAGGAAGTGGAGAAAAGCTTCAGTCAGAGGTTAAAGAAATAGAGCAGTGGTTCCCCAAGTGTGGTCCCCAGACCAGCCGCATCAGCATCATATGGGAACTTGCTGGAAATATAAATTCCTAGGCCAACCCTAGACATACTGAATCAGAAACTGTGGGAGTAGGACAAGTAATTTGTATTTTATTAAGCCCTGTAGATGATATTGATGTCCCAAGAGTTTGAGAATCATTGATTTAGATTCTTCTCCAATGTAGAAGAATGTTTATCACACAGATGGTTCCAGAGGGGACAGTAGAAAAGTTTTGGAAGAACAAGGGAAGCTGGGCTAGGTAGGAAACAGAGACACGTGGGAGAGGACAAATGGTCTGAGAAGCTATGTTTTGCCTGCTGGGCAAGGATGACAAGGCATAACTGAATGAACTGGCCTTAAGGTTTTCAGAAATAAGTCCTGACAATTCCAATCTGGAACGATTGTGTTCCTGAGGTACTATTCCGAGAACAAGACCAGGAGTGTTTACTGATGGGAACTGGAGAAGGTGTCAACCTAGGCCTGGAATGGTTATTCTTTTTTTTTTTAATCATGTTTAGCATCATTTTTTAATGAACTGCCTTATTTTTGCCATTAAATTGAGTTAAAATTGCCAAGTCACTCAAGTTATGTCACTAAGACACAAAAACCACGGCTTCATTCGGTAAAGACACTGGGCAAAAGAGAGAATCACAATTTGCAACGTATACTTCCCCTTCTAAAAATTTATCTCAATTTATCTTAAAGTGTTACATGAATACTCATCACAAATCAGAGAAGGAATTTAAAATAAAGGGTAAAAATTAAGCAAACCAAGTTCTTGTTAGCCATCTAGTACTGCATCTTTATGGAGAGGAAGGTAAAATATTAGTTGGACCGGTTATTCTTTAAGGAGGGGTGAATCCAATCCCCGGGAAGTGAGACAGGGAATGAGAGTAGTAAGTTGGACCCTGACCAAGTGCTGAAAACAGCAACAAACAAAAAACAAATCTTTTGCTGTCGAGTTGATTCTGACTCAGTGACCGTACTGGACAGAGTAGAACTGCCCACAGGGTTTCCAAGGAGTGGCTGGTGGATTCAAACTGCCAACCTTTTGGTTAGCAGCCCAGCTATTAACCACTGCTAAATAATGAGGGACATGTGCTTATGAGCAAGAATCAGCTCCACTTTGGCTCAGGAAAGAACTGACTGACTGTCCCCTGGCTCCAGGCACCAACCCTCACCTGCTGAGCTGCCTCTGTTGTGGCAAAGTTAAAGCTTGAAGAGCACAGGTGATGTGCTCTGCCAACAGGAAGTGAGGGATGTATTCTAAAATGTGGGTAGCTGACCTAGTCCAGTAATACTTATATTTTTTCTGAATCAATCTCTGGGAAAATCTTGGGACTCTGGCAGTTAAGGTCCAAGCAAGTTAAATAGAGTGCAGTCACACAAGATTTCTCATTGTTATTATATTGCACTCCCTTAAAATTTTTTTGAGCCAATTATGACAGGGGTTCTTAAACAGACCTTTTGTATGCAGCAAGGCCCAATGTGTTTTATACTATGTTAAACTGTTGGGTTAACAACAACAATAATGTATGGATAAATGTGGAAAGTGTGCCAGTATTTGTATAAAAAAGGAAAAAAAAAACCTTGTATTTGGGTACATAAAATATTTCTGGAAGACTTCACCAGAAACTGATAATATTGGTAGCCACTGGGGAAGGGAACTGGGTAGCTGGGGAGGAGAGGAGAAAGGAAAATTTTTCATCATTAAACCTTATGTACCTTTTTAATTTGGACCATGTTTTAAGTGTATTATTATTCAAAAATAAAATTTAAAAATATATATTTTAAATAAATAAAATAATCAACTTTTATTATCCTCAACATCAGAGAAAACACAAGCCTGAAATCTATGGGAATTAAGTAGCCTCACTAAGGCGGGGGAAAACCACGGAAGACCTTCCTCAGAGATTCCCTTAGTCCTGCCACCCTAGAGGAGGCCTTTCAAGTGAATCACAAACTTCCGATTCAGCCGAGAGGAGGCCACTGAGTCAGCTTTCCTGACTGAAATCTGCTGCTGTTCAGAACAAGCACCTGGGAAGAGACAACTCCCTCTTCTGTGGGTAGCATCCTTACTGGAAGGCAGGTGAGAACTCACAGCCATGATGTCTCTTGGTTTCTCTCTCTCCCATGTCCTCTCCAATTGCGTCTTCCCCTGTTCTTTGGCCACAATGTTTAATTTTTGAGAAGAAAATGCTGAACAAGTTAAGTCCTTGTCAGTCTGAGTCTGAACTCTCATTTGACTTGGAAGACTTGTGCTTTCTTTTTTTCTTCTTTTTCTTTTCTTTCTTTCTTTTCTTATGCTTTTCTTTCTTCTTCTTTTTCTTGTGTTTCTCTTTACATTCTGAGGAACTGGAGCTGCTGCCATCCTCATCTGAGGTGGAATCCTCCAGTAACTGTTTCAACTGCTGTATCCTAAACGTATAAAATTGGTCAAAGAACCGTGATTTTTAACTTGTAAACATTTTCTTTTTTATGACTTAAGAGTAGTGTTGAGGTAAGAAAATGTCATCACTAAACACAACACTTATTTTTATTTTTACATATTTTCCCACTTTTGTCCATATGCATGCCTATAAACCTGTATTCAAGCCATTTTATATTCTTTTCATTTTCCTAAATATTTCTGCATGTTCCTATAGTCCTTATAACTTCTAACAGACACATAATTTCCTAAATCATTCCCTCACTGCTCGATTTTATAGTAGATAATATACCTCTTCAATGATTACAACTCAAAGCAAACAATTTGAAAAACAAAAGAAAACAAAACCCTCCTGTTTTTTCACACTATCTTTAGTTCTAAGAATAATTAACAAAAGCTCAGATCCTTAAAGACACTGGAGAAAATAAACTAAGTCACAGGAAAGATAATCAAATGTACAATAAAGCCAGCCACAACAAGGGGGATAGCCAATGTCAACTGTTAGTGCTGTGTGTGGGCTGGGCCAAGCCCACTGCTTTAAGCTAACCCAAGGAGGACAAGTCTTGCATGCTCCTTGCCACACACACCTCCTTCCCCACACACAGCCTCTTCAACAATTACTCTTATCCTCCAAATATTTCAAATTAGAGTACCTTATTTACTAAACCATTCCCTAATACTGGATAGTTATTTCCAATTTTACATAATTTAAAACTTTCAGAGGATACCAATCATCACGACAACCTCACCTTACATCCTTTTCATGTCTTTTATTCTCTCGTATGATGTCATACATGGGGTCTTCATGTGCCTTGGAGGTCAGAGAAAGCTGAGGTTTGATTAGGCCTTATAAACCGTTAGTTAAATAAAAACGAAATCCTTATTTCACTGAAACCAGTTAGTTTTTTTTCCCGTTTGATATAGTATGATGTTCAAAATGTTCTATTCCTTTCTAAGGGTCACCATGACAGCAAACTCACTGAGACTGTAAAAAGGATTTTCTGATTATAAAAAAGCAGGAAATTAAATATCCTTTATGAGGAAATAACTACATAAACTGTGAAACAGTCATACTATGAAATAGTATTCAAGGTTCCTAATATACCGGTAATTCTTCTTGCTCTATGTGGACAGATGACAAACAGATATTAATAAGCAAAACAACTGAGTTGCACAATGATACATAAGAATGATTCATTTCAGGTACATAAAAATATATGTTAAGTACTCCAAAAGATGTCTGGAAGTATACCCATCAAATTGCTAACTGCAAACTCCCTTTGGGGAGAGAGGCAAGGTTGGGCTTGGTGGTTTCATTTCTTTAATAAGACAAATGTATTCTTTTATTATTCATATAATTTAAAATGACTTAATAGTATGTGAATTATCTCACTAAAAAAAGGTGTTAATTGTACAAATTTTAGACATTACAGAAAAAATTAAAAAAAAAACTATTAACACCTAGGGATAACCACTGCTAACATTTTAGTGTTTTTCTCCCAGTCAGTATTCATAATTTATGAAAAATTTTAATATTATATATGCAACTCTAGTCTTTTACACTTATGTTTTCATAAACATTTTTTCCATGATATTACACATTCTTGTAGAACATAATTCTTAAAGGCTATATAATTTCTATGTTATAGTAATTTATATTGGTATGCTGGACATTTGTTTCCTATTTTTCTGTAGTTTTTATTTTTTCAGCAACATAAATAATTCTGAAAGTTATCCTTATACATACATAAAAATTTGTGTATACTGATATTCTATTATATCCTCAACATAAATTCTTAGGATTGAGATTTTTGAGTTAAAAAAAATATGAATATGTTTAAATATTTTGGCATTTATCACCAAAGTATCTTCTACAGTAGCTATATAAATTGACATTTCATCTAGCTTGATCCAGAATAATTATTTTTTGATTTTTAAAATGAAAACATAATATTTAAAATGTCTTCAAACCCTTGAAGGATGTCTGTGGACCCCAGTTTGCCATATGCTGATAACTTGAATACATTCAGACAGCAGCATATTTAATTTGGCAGAAGCATTTACCGAGCAGTGAATTAATACTGTTAAAGTGCAGAAGTGATAGATTTACCCTATTGTCATCTAACGAGAATATGTAAGTTATACACACAGTTCTAACTTATAACAGGAAGATATCTAATCATTAGATTAAGACTGGGAAACTAAAACCCTAATTTTAGTTATGAAATAGGATTCTTTATGTAATAAATTTAAAAAGTGACAGAATAGAAAACACTATGTACTTCAGAGAAAAGAATTACTGTTCCCAACACATAAGCAAATAACACTTTAAAAAGAAGTCAGGTTTTTTGTTAAAGAGCTAATCTGTCATACAAATGCAATTTAATACAGATGCCATTCATTAACATCAGATGTTATGGCCAGAAGGCTTCTGGGAATGTATTTTCTGTGAACCTTCAGTTCACTGATGACTGCTGATTCATCAACATTCACCATCTCTGATAAACGTACATTGACATTGTGGGGTTTTACTTACTACTCTGAACTGTTCTAACTTTTGGTTGCCTTTGATAAAGAAAGGGCATTCTTTGTCACCGGTTCGGTGACCATACCGTTTACAACGCCAACCTAAAAACAAAGAAAAAGGGAAATATTTCTATAAGATAACACTCTTTCACTCATACAAATAATGACTGAACCTAAAAAATCAAGGAACAGGAATACAATCATGGTACTTAGATACATGGGGATAAACATTAAGATAACCACCTTAAAACAGGTTCAAGGCCTTAAAAGAGGTTTAAGTAGTTATCTTTGAGGTGAGGAGAATGGGGAAAAGGGGCAGGGAACTGCTATTTTAATTATGTACATGAATAATCTTTGTACAAATCAATGTTTTTTAAAAAGAGGCAGCACCCCTTCTTCAAATGCCATCGAAATGGTGCCAGGGTGAAGATGTTGCTGCTCTGATGGGGTGGGGACTTCAGACCCACTCCTGTGGCTGAGGCTCCACTCACTCAAGTTACATGGATAAAAGCTTCAAAGCACCTATAAACCCATTGTCCTTGAGTTAATTCTGACTCATAGCAACCCTACAGGACAGAGAAGAACTGCCCTCTAGGCTTTCCAAAGCTGTAAATCTTTATGGAAACAGACTGCCACATCTTCTTCCCATGGAGCAGCTGGTGGGTTTGAACTGCCGACCTTTCAGTTAGCAGCCGAGTGCTTAACCACTGCACCACCACGGCTCCTCAGAGCATCAACAGAGGGTGATAACCTGGAATGATTCACTGAGGTATAACCCTAAGAAACCCACACTGCAATGCATTTCTTAGCCTTCCCCATGGCACTTCTACCACGGAATATCCTTTGTGTTATAGGAATGCTACTGAAAAGTATACTCCAAAGGTAGCTATGGAAAGACTGTTGGACTTGTAATCGGAAGCCCTGGTTTCAAAGCTTTGCTCTACCTCTTACCTTGGACAACTTACTAACATCTGCGAGTCTGCTTTCTTATCTATAAAATGGGGATCTTTAACAGGACTGTTTGAGAATGAATTAAATAAAATAAGTAAGTATCCATTGTAAATTGTGTTATATAACTGTACATATGTTGGGTAGTGTTACTTGAAACTCTTCCACGCTCACACTGCATAACTTTGACTTCTTTCCCCAGTGGCATCCACAATCCTTTAGTTGGTGCGTGAGCCAGAAATTCCCTGGCATGTTCATTGCCTGGTACATCTGGTATACAGTCTTCTGGCTTAGTCTCATCTTCCTAAACAAGTGAAACAACATGTAAACAATAAGGCAAAAAAAGCACTGGAATTCTCCCCTGCCTGCTTTGGAATGCATTATTGCCTGATTTTCTCATGGGCTGCAGATCCCAACATCATTGTCAACTACCCTGTCAGAAATTACAAAGACGCAGACATGCTATATCTGACCAAAAAAAAGGAAATAAATGTACCAGGGAAAACATGAGAATACAAGAGAAAACATGAGAATACAAGACTGGAAGCTTCTTTACAGAAACTAAATTCATACTAACCTTGATAAGCCCAGGAGGAGGTTTTTCATAACTAGAAAGGAAAAAAAAAAAAAATCCATCAACCATTTTAACAGGAACATAATTTTAATGAACTAAAGGCAGCTGTCAAAACAAAATAAAAAGAATATCCTTGCTAAAAAACTTACAACTACATTACATCTAAAACAGTTAATACAATGTGCTCCGCACTCAGGAATCACATATAAATAAGTTGATGCTATATCATACCCTGCAGAGATCTAGAACTTAAATTCATGGAAATACTAACTTGTTGTTTCAGCAAAATAATTTTTTGGGGGAGAAGGGAAAACATGAGAATACAAGGGAAATGTCAAGTAAAAGATGACCCGTGGGCTAATTATATACCTATGGGCATCTGGAAGGGAGGTGGTACAGTCTAGGTAATTACCCAATAATCCATCCTTTGAGCCACAAGAGTTGTACAAACAACATATGGCCAACTAAATTGAGATCCAAATTCCTGAAAAATATGTAACTGTTCTTGCCAAGAATGAAAAGGGGTGTGATAGGACTGCACATTTTGAAATCTATTGTTATTAGCAATGGGATTTCCTAAAAGTCAATTTTACAACTTTTTTCACAAGTTTAAAGGAAGATGATTGATGTTTTTTTCCTAGGGTCAAACAATATTTAAAAGGGTAATCCTCAAAGTTTAAAGTAATATTCAACAACGAGATACAACAGATTTGGCAATAGCATGTGTTTATTGTGCAGTCTGGCTTTTGTGTTGTGACAGTTGAGACGCCTGTGTTTATCTTTCTAGTTAATTCCTAGAATTAAAAAAAAAAAAAAAAAGGCAGTGGAAGCCCATTTTTTTTTGTACCATCTGTGAAGCCTTGCTATTAAATCATTCAGACTATAAATTGTTCTGAGCAGAACGTAGGCTAAATTTAGGTAAGGGGGGGAAACATTATCTTTCCAAGTGTGTATGGGGCAAGAAATAACTTATTTTGCCAAGTATTTTGAATTACTCTTTGTGAGTGCTGGGTGGGATTTCTTTGACAAGGGGCCTTCATGTAAGTTTACTCCATTCCACAAAATTGTCCTTACAGCTGCCTCCTATGGGACTGGAAGGCAGAGATAAAACTGACACACACATAAAATCTTTAGGTTTTGCCAAGCAGCCTAGGTGCACCTGAGGGAAAGGAAAAAGGGAAGAAGAGAGAGGGAGAGGGGAGAGACAGAGCTCACTGGAGCACAGGGGCTTGATTCAGATGCCTTCAGGGGCCTGGCAGGTATCGTCAAAGAGAAGCAGGTCAGTGGTGATGGAGAAAACTTGAAGAGGGAATGTCCGGTGTAAAACGATTTTAATCCAATTTAAAAAACCACTGTGGGGCTTCCCATTTAACACGAAAGACTGACCACCTTGCTTCTGTCTTCCCTCCTCAGACTCCCTTCCAGAAAAACCCAAACTTGTTGCCGCTGAGTCGATTCTGACTCATGGCAACCCCACGTGTTACAGGGTAGAACTGCTCCATAATTTTCTTGGCTGTAATCTTTATGGAAGCAGATCGTCAGGCCTTTCTTCTGTGGGGCCGCTGGGTGGGTTCGAACCACCAATCTTTAGTTTAGTAGCCAAGAGCAAACCACTTGCTCCATGCAGGGACCTCCTGACTCCCTTAAAATGACATTAAAGGAACTAAAAGTTAAGAAGTCCTTTTTAAGAAATTTAAAGATCCTGAGAGGAGATAAAAGCAGAGAATAATTTCAATAAATTTGGGAAGACAGAGGAAAGTGGAAGGAAGTAGTAACTGACTTCTTTAGGTAGAGGAAGTTACAACTCTTGAAAGATGAGGGTTGGGAATATGGACACTGAGCAGCTGAAATCACCAGTACTTTCCTCCTTCTCCAGGGCCAGAAGGCTCTGCCTGCCCTATCCTTGAAGGAGACTGTAGGTTTAGTCCCCTGTGAAACATAACGGGATAGGACCCAGATGTTCAGGATTACTGGCACAGCTGAGGATGGGAAAGAGGATAAGCACTGGCTGAAAACAGGTGTTGAGTCTTAGTCTGAACACTACGTTGCTCAGCTCTCTTCCTCCCTACTCCAATTCAGAACACTGGGAGGCATTTATCTCTGACACCAAGGCCAGAGACTGGAAGCTTCTTCTTTAGAGAAACTAAATAGGCCCCAGAAAAAAATTCTACTTACTGACGTGGGAGACTCTAGATAAAAAGAGCAGATTACAGTCTGATCTCCCTGCACTGAAACTCACCAGTCAACAAACCAGCACCTTCTGGTGTCCTCTCTCTCACCATACCATTGCCATCAAGTCGATTCTGACTCATAGGGACCCTTTAGGACAGGGCAGATCTGCCCCATAGGGTTTCCAAGGCTGTAATCCTTATGGAAGCAGGCTGTCAAATCTTTTCTATCGCAGAGTGGCTGGTGGGTTTGAAATGCTAACATCTCAGTCAGCAGCCGGGCACTTAACTCACTGTGCCCCTTCAAAACAGCTTTATAGTGCTTCACTCTTAATTATGAGGAGAAATCCAAGGATCTCCACACATTAGGAAAAAACTTGAAAGACAGAGATCAAAAGAAAAGGTAAACAAGAAACAGAGGCAATGAAGGGATGAGAAGAAAGCAACAATTGCAACAAACAATGAAAAACCGAGTATCTTCAGAGAGGACTGAGGTTATTTCATTGATGAAACAAGAAGGTAATACTATAAAATAAGACTTCTCAGAACAAGAAAAAGCACTTGAAACTACAGTAACTGAAACTTTCAAAAAGTGTGGTGGTAAGACTGGCAAATAAATCTTTCAGAAAGTAGAATAAAAGGAAAAAGACATAGAAAACAGAAAAAATAATTTAGAGAATCAACAAATATCCAAGAAAAAAAAAAAACCAAAATGGAGGGAGAAAATTAAAACACAAATTCATGTATTCATTTAATATACTCATGAAGTGTCATAAAAAAAAATCAAGTGAGAGAAGACCCATATCATCAACAAATTCAGAATACCAGGGATAAAAGAGAACTTCATTAAAGCTTACAAAGGTGGGGTGAGGTAGAACAGGTAACACATAAAATAAAGGGAATGAAGGTGGCATCAGACTCCTCAGCAATTTTGTAAGCTAGAAGATGGTGGCACACCACCTTTGAAATTGAGTGAAAATAATGTTTAACCTAAAATTATAACCTAACCAAATTACCTATAAAATTTGAAGGTAGAATAAAGATATTTTCAAATCTGCAAAGACTCAAAACATTTGCCCCTACTGCACTCTTTCATAGGAAGTTGCAGAATGTGCTTCAGAAAGATGAGGTAGTAAAGACAGAAAGGAAGAAGCCCTGGTGGTGCAGTGGTTAAATGCTCGGCTGCTAACTGAAAGGACAGCAAATTGAACCCACCTGCCGTTCCATGGGAGAAAGATGTGGTAGTCGGCTTCCATAAAGATTGCAGCCTTGGAAACCTTATCGGGCAGTTCTACTCTGTCCGACAGGGTTGCTATGAGACGGAATAGACTCCACGGCAAAGAACAACAAAGAAAGAGAAAGACATAGGATCCTGAATATAGGATCCAGGACAGGAGAGTGGAGAAGCAGTTCCAGGTGGGTTGTTGGACACCATGCCTAGAAAGCAACCAGTGCCTACTGGAGGAGAAAAGAAGATTCTAGGTAAAAAATGAACTGACAGATTATCTAGTATGTAGTAAAACGTGAGAAGAGTACTCTCAGCTTTTGGAGCCTTTAGGGGAAAAAAAGCAGCTAGTAATAGAAAATTAAGCAGATGAAAAAAACGGGAGGCTCTTATTAACTACTGAAAAAGTGGGTTGCACTAGCTAGCAAAAGAGATCATAGAACACTATTTGGCTCAAAAGTGAGCAATACTACATAGTTATAATAATAATGTTAATACTATTAATTTCACAAAAATTATAATTTAGCTATAAGGATAGAAGAGTACAGAATGAAAACTAAATCCTTACCTACTATGACACGAAGTAATAATGTCTAAAATCGTTGAATCAAACAAACAAGCAAACAATACAAGCATATAATTTAGAAATAGGGACTTCAATCCCAGACGAAATACTAAAGGAGTTTGCTCATGGGCGCTCTGTTTTGGGTGTGGGGTGGGGCCAGCAGGGAGTGCGTGGGATGACTGAGGAATAGGGCAGCAAACCACTATTTATTGAAATCAGCCTTTTAGTACTATTTGATTTTTTAAAGTACATGAAAGTAATGGTGTAGTATGAATAAAATTTAATTATAAAAACAAACAAGAGTCTGAACTAACCAAACCATACATGTCAACAGTCCACTGAGTTTTAAATCTCTGAAACAGGAAAATCCCGCAAGTCTGGGACGAAGACACCTGGGCTTGGCTCTAGGGCTGCTGGTTTACAGGTCAGTGTATCACTGATCACGTTCCTGTACTGCTGAACCTCCATTTTCTCTCTGCAAAAGGAAGTTATAATCTCTCTCTTTGTGAAAGCCCTCTGTGAGCTACAAATTAAATGTGTAGTATTAACCACTGTCTGACCTCCTACAGTTAAAGATATTGAGGGACGAGCAGGGCCTTGCCTGAGCCTATGTTAGGGGAAGACGTCTGAATATGTCACTTGCACAGGAAGCCACGAGAGCCAACAGAGTGCCTTGAAAGGGTCAGGACTGACCCATAATGGTTTCCAGCAATGCAGGACTGCATTCTGCAACCATTGCCTTGCAGAGGCAAGAAGTCATTCAGCTCATGGACCACTATGAAAAGAGCAGGCCTGGCCCCAAGGAACGAATGCATTTTGCATCAAAGCTCCTGGGTTAATTATGAAGTATTTTAACCCTTTGAGGACGTGTTCCTTACATGATCAACCTAGCATACATAACTATAAGAACCTGAAACAAATGAATTGTTTGTTGAGTAACTCAGTGAACACGATACTTAGAAACGTTTGGAATCACAGAATCTTGGAAAAGAACCTGGTCATTAGTCCAACGTCCCACCTGTTGTGTGAATCTCCTTTACAACATCTCCTCCCAGCGGTTATCTGGACTCTCCTTGAACCCTCAGGCGCTGGGGGAGCACCCAAAACAAGCAAGCAAACAAAAAAAACTGTTGCTGTCCAGTCGATTCTAACTCATAGTGACCCTATAAGGACATGGCAGAACTACCCCATAGACTTTCCAAGGAGCGGATGGTGGATTCGAACCGCTGACCTTTTGGTTAGCAGTCGAGCTCTTAACCACTGCGCGCCACCAGGGCTTCAGGGTGGAAGAAGCATAAACCAAACCAAACCAAACCCGCTGCCATCGAGTGGATTCCGCCTCACAGAGACCCTAAAGGACAGAGTAGAACTGCCGTGTAAGGTTTCCGAGGAGCGCCTGATGGATTTGAACTGCCAACCTTTTGGTTAGCAGCTCTTAACCACCACGCCACCCGGGTTTCCGGGAGCAGCACACTACTTCCTACATCAGGCCATGCTGACCAGCGAGGAATATACGACTCTCATCCTAAATTCTTTTTCATGTTGAACTGGAATTGGCCTCTCTGTAGCTTCCACCCTCCGATCCTGGTAAAAATTCTCAGGACTAGAGAGAACACTAGAGAGAACAAGCCTACACTCTCCTACATGACAGCCAGCCTTTTGAATATTTAGGGACAACTCTTTGCCTAGTCCCTCACTCCAATCTCTATTTTTCGCTTCCTCACCACACTAACATCACAGCACTGGGTTTTTTCTTCCATTTTTAACAGCAGAGGTTGAAAAGAACGGGGGTTTTCCCCATTTCGTAGTGGACCCTTTGAATTGAAACCTGAAATGATGAAAGGGCTCAGCTGAACTTCTGATTTATTCAGTCCACAAATACTTACTGAGCGCCTAATAGTACTTAGCGCCTAATAATGCCAAAACTAAACACAAAACTGGCAGCACAAGGAGTAAAAAACTGTCCTTAGGAAGAGGCAAATTCACGGATCCACGTGCGCCTCTGAGGAGCCGTTCGGGGTGGAGCCTCCATTTCCTCCTCCCAGGCCGAGGCAGGGCTCCGAGGACGCGGAGGGAACTCTTCTCTCCACATGACGACGAAAGGCTTGAGGTCAAGCGGCCGCAACACCCGGGCACCAATAAACGGCGGCTGGGTTACTCCTGGGGTCCGACGAGGAGAGCGCGGTGCGGCTGCACGGGGAAGGGGCGGGCGGCCGGGCCCACCTGTCCACCCGCAGGGGTCCCCGAGGACTCCCACCTAACGCACCAGCACGGCGCCCGGGCGACCCCCAGGCCCCACGCGGGAAACTGACTCCAGGCCCCGATTCCTTCCAGAAGGTCGGGCGGGGACTCACAAGGATTCCAGGTGCTTGAGCTGCTGCAGCTGCTGCGCGTCGTGGCGCCGCCGTTTCTGCTCCCGGCGACGCTGCAGCTCCTGCTCGGACAGCTCCCGTGGCCGCCGCGCGCTCCCGGCCCCCGCGTCGTCGCGCCCCGGCCGAGAGGACATCGCGGCCTACGCGGCGCTAGGCTACCGGGAAGCGCGGCTGAGGCGGCGGCGGTGAAGACTGCACTTCCTCCGCACGGCGCCGCTCGGCCTCGCAGCGCCCCCTCCCGCC